TGAGTCTAGGACGGGATTTAAAAAGATCACCGAACAATTGGACATCAATCATTCCACTGTCCAGAAGATCACCTACAAGTAGAGAAGATTTCAAACAACTGCCAACTTGTTCAGGAAGGCCATCCCAGCAAGTTCAGCTTAAGAGCAGGAGGCAAGATGCTGAAAGATGTCTCTAAGAACCCAGAATTTCAGTGCAAGACCTACTGGTAGCTCTCACCACTACTGATGTCAAAGTGCATACGTCTACCCTTAGAAACTGGACAAATTAGATCTACATGGAAGGTGTGCCAGGAGGAAACCTTTGCTGACCAGAAAAGCATCAGGGCAAGACTAACGTTTGTTCATGAACACCTAGACAAAGACCAGGACTTCTGGAACAATGTGCTCTGGACAGACAAGGCAAAGATAGAGTCATTTGGTATAGTACCAGAAGACATGTTTGGCAAAAACCAAAAACAGCATTTCACTAGAAGAACCTGATACCAACTATAAAGCATGGTGGTAGAAATGTTATTGCCTGGGGCTGCTTTGCTGCATCAAGGCCTCAGCGGCTCACTTATCATAGAATCCACTATGAATTGTTCATTGTACCAGAGGGTGCTTGAGGATAATATGAGACCATCTGTCAAAAGATTGAAGCTCAACCAAAAGTGGACTTTGCAACATGACAATGACCCTCAACAGTCCAGTAAATCCAACAAGGAATGGCTGAAAAAAATGGAAAGTTCTGGAATGGCCAAGGCAGCCCGGATCTAAATCTAAATCAAGATGCTGTGGGGTGATTTGACACAAGTTGTCCATGCAGGAAAGCCCTCAAACATCACACAGCTGAAAAAATGCTGCATGGAGAGGTAGGAAAAGAATTCTTCCCAGTCCGTGTCAGAAACTGGTAGACAGTTATAAGAAGCATCTCCCTTTGTTTCTGCCAAAGGGGCAATACCAGCTATTAGAGCAGTGTTGTCCAAACTTGGCCACTTTAAGATGAGTGGACTGCAACCCCCAGAATCCCCGAGCCAGCAGGGCTGGCTGGGGAATTCTGGGAGTTGAAGTCCACTCATCTTAAAGTGGCCAAGTTTGGACAACACTGCCTTAGAGCAAGGGTTTACTTATTTTTTCCTCAAAAGGAAATGGCATATTTGTTAATCCTTTGTGGCATCAGTGATTGCAAAGTCAACTTTTCATCTTTTTTTTTTCAGTTAGATCACCTTTAACTTTGTATACTGTTTGAATGAAGATAAAATATTGATATGTCCACATATGTTAAAAAATTTAAAAAATGACATGGGGTGTACTTAGTTTTTCACATAACTGTAGCTTCATTTCTGCCTTCCTGGTTTATTACTAGATAGTTGCTTTTGTGTTTCAAGTGTTTTGTTTTTCTTACCTTTTCAAGTGCTTTGTAAGCTGTCCTGGGAACATTCATATTGAGGCTTCAGAGTAAAATGTATTGAGTAAAAAAAGTAGCTCCTTCAGTTGAAAAGTCTCCCTTTTGTGTATATATTTAAAGCTGAAGGCTTCATTCTATGGGATAGAATTGTGAAACTTCTCTGGGCCTTTTCACAATGTAAGGAGTGGAATGTTAATTGCCACTACACCATCCACTGTGTGGGAGATGTGCTCTCTTTTTCTTTTTAAGGAGTGGAATGCAGGTCCATTATCTCTCAGGCATCTTGTTTGCATGGCATTGAAAACTTATTTAAAAAAAACATAGCTTAAGGGCTAGACTTCACAGACACTTCTTGCTTATTAAGTAGATCATTGGTTGTCAGAGCAGAGACCGGATGTTCCAGATAAAAGCCTTCAGATATTCATTATGTGAAGGGGCAATATGCATAAGCAGTTGTGCCTGGATTGCCTGGGTTGCAAAGATCAAGATTCAGCAAGAGGTCAGATTCAACAAAAGCAGCCTGGAATATAAGGCCTGGTCGGATTTGGGAGCAGAGACAGAGGCTTCAACAATAATTCTGCCATGGCATCACTTTAAAGGCAGCCAACCTCTTAAACAGAGCAACTTCCAATACAAAAGCTATTAGCAACATTCCTAATCCAAGCCTTTTGAGAGCCCATGTGGCACAGTGGTTAAGATGTTAGATGAGGACCAGGTTCAAGTTTCCTCTCCACCATGGAGAGGTCACTGCGTGACTTTGGGCCAGTTACTTTTTCAGCCCAACCTATTTCACAGGGTTATTGGGGGGGGGGGGGGGGGG